GGTGGCACTCACTTCACACCTGATGAAGACGCTGGAGCAGCTCCTCCTCCACCTCCTCAGGCCCCAGGTTCAACAAGCCCAGGACTCTCTACAATTTGCCTACCAGGCAAATGTTGGGGTGGAGGATGCTGTGCTGTACCTCCTCCATCGAGCCCACTCACACCTGGACAAGATAAGCGGCACTGTGAGGATTCTTTTTCTGGACTTCTCAAGTGCCTTCAATACCATCCAGCCCCCGCTACTGTGGGGAAAGTTAGAAAGGATGGGAGTGGACTCGTGCCTGGTGGACTGGATCTCCGACTACCTCACTGACAGACCACAGTATGTCAGACTGAAGGACACCACATCTGACACTGTGGTCAGCAGCACAGGGGCCCCTCAGGGGGCAGTGCTGGCCCCTCTCCTCTTCACCGACAAAGGCGCAGTGGTGGAAGCAGGTGCGGGAAAGCCATCAGGGAGCAGGTGTGACAAGACAGGTGTAGGAAGCAAAACTAGAACAGAAACAACCGGTAAAGGGATTTCAAAATAAAACACAGAAGACAGGACATAAAATGTGCACACAAAACAGAAACTTGACAGACATGACAGCTTTAAAGGGCTAGAGTGTCTGTTTTACAACTGTCTTCATCTTTAGAAGCAATTAAGATATCATCAACATAGGTGAACACTTGAGAATTACATTGTGGTTCAAATTTTCCTACACATGCAGCTATTGTCTGAGCAAAAATAGTTGGAGATTCTGTATAGCCCTGTGGCAGTCTGGTGTAGGTGTAACGTTGACCTTCAAGCGTGAATGCAAACCAAAACTGTGAGTGTTTGTCTAGTGGAATAGAGAAAAATGCATTACTCAAGTCAATAACACTAAAGATGGGATTTTCTGGTTTTAGTTCATTTAGCAACACATTTGCATGAGGCACATTTGTTGCTCTGGCTTCAACTGCTTTGTTTACTGCTTGCAAATCTTGAACCATCCTCCAGCCAGCAGCAGGAGCTGCCTTTTTAACTGGAAACAATGGTGTATTGCATGGTGAATCATCACATGGGCCAAAAACACCTGCTTTAACCAAGCCCTCTACTGTGCTTTCAATACCTTCTTTTACTTCTGGTTTTAAGGGGTACTGACGTTGATATGGAGTGAAGTGGACTTTCCCTGCCTGTCACTGCCTCCAAAATACTTTAACAGTGCTCCTGGTGAAGTTTCATATAAATTATGAGCATATTTATATAGAAAGCCTGTTCATTTCATCCACATAAATGACTGAGCTCTGCAGCAAACAATTATTGTCAACAGCACATCTCAATCTATAATTCATACCAATAGGCCTGCATTATTATGGTTCTCGCCCGCGTTAGAACAGAGTAACGGCCCCTTACGCTGCTGCCTGAAAAAATACGCTGGACCGACATGTTGTTTTCGAGGGCGTGTCGCAGGAAAATGATCATTTCTGTATGTTGGTTGCAGGTGCTGAGTTTGCTTATGCCGTGTCATTGTCCCATAGACTGTATACTGTCTATGCTTTGTCCCCACTTGAGTCTCTGAATCTGTGACAGAAGATGAGTGCACATAAGGTATTTGTCAAAGCAGTCTGTACAACTTGTTTTCAAAGCAGGTTTCATTGGTACATGGCTCCACCCATGACTCTTTTGTAATAAGTCTTTTGAAATTGTGAAACTGCGACATACCAGTGCCTGGGGGCCCTACTGCTCTATATTGTATGAAAATGTGATTTGTAATCTGGTGCCTGAGTTTTCTGTTTTCCTTTACATAAACAAAGATGTTGGCACCATAAGTTGACGTGGAAAAGGTGAAATAAGAGTGCTGAGCAATGATAAAAACAGAGCAGTGAGGTTCGTTATGCTACAGAAATTATAAATAGTCATCTCGTTAACATATTCAGGAGGAAATATCTGTGTTCGCTTGTGCTGAAATTGAATTTTAACTTCTGGTTTCAGCCTTTGCCTAAAACAAAACTAGTTGCAAAAGTGCATAATTTTCTTTATCAATCATTTCTTTTAAGAGACCTTCCTACTTTTATTATTCAAATTTCTTGCAACAACACCAACTGAAAGAGGACTCAGTGCCTCTGTGTCATGTCTCTCTCTTTGTTTTGCATACAGACCTGAGGAGCATACTACAAAGCAAATTTGACATAGACAGGCATTCTTTGTGTAAGCCGAATCGACAAAACTGAAAGCCCCAGCCAGAGATTACGGGTATCACGGAGGTGGTTATCAACTTTTTTTTGTAAACTCAGACTTTCTGCTTCAGACTCTGTGCACGTTCACATAAAAAGGGGTGTTTAACGGGTCACGTGACTCTTCTGCACAAAATGAAACGATCGTGTTCAGCTGCTTCAGTCAACACGTTGTTTTAATGGAGAGCAATGAGGAATATATATGTATATATTTAAAAATGTGACAGTATAAAGCGCTGCTACTGCAAGTGGTGCAAGACAGGAATGCTGGTAGAAAACTGTTAAACGTGTTCATATATAATATTTTTATTTCCAGCTGACAGCTGCACGTTCAAGTTAAACTTTAAACTTCATACATTTAAACATGATATTGTATTGAAGCACATTTAGGTCTGACACTGCCCCATAATGCAGGATATCACTTTATTATTTGGCCCAATCAGAGTGAAATTAATGTTGTTGATTGAATATTCTCTGTAATAAATACCAGCAGAATTATCCATTTTCTCAGCTGCAGTACCAGCAGTGTAAACGGACTTGACAGAAAATCAGAGCCGAACATAAAAACATATTTATGTGATTTCTTAATCAACAGTCATTGAAGTAGTGTATGATATCTATTCATCCTCATCCACACCCCCTACCTACCTACCGACCTACCTACCCACCTACCTTACCTGCCATTTTATATAACTGACATCAGTAGATGCCCTGCCTCCTGCGTCTCAGCGAGAGACAGAGATAAGGCATCACCAGAGTGATCTGTATTGAACATTAGTCATCAGCCAGTGAGCTTATTTTAGTTAAGCTTCTGTTAAGTTGTGTTTTTCTGCTCTTAGACAATATTTAAGAAAAAAAAAGTGGATATGTTGCGCAACATTTCCAAGACTGACCTTGCACTTTGCTTTGTGGGTCTTATCGTTCTTTCAAGGTAAGTTTTTTCTTCTTCTTTTTTTGACTTGTTGCCCATATTTACTGCACTACAACCTAATTTTCCACTAAATGCCACTTGTTGAAATGTGACTACATGATAATACAAAGTACCTGTGATCATTGTTGAATGGCAGCTATTAAGTGCAATTTGATCTATCCTTGAGCCATCAAGCAATTACAAAAGTACTGTTGTTAGTCAGGAGCCATGATAATCATTTATCAGTTATGAGGATGTGTCAACATTACCAGTAATAGATGGACAATGAAGGGCCAGAGTGGCAGCCTTTTTTTATGTTGAGCAGAATTAAAAAAAAAAAAAAAAAGAGACAGATGACCCAAGTTTCGGTGCAAATTTGCACCTTACTTTCAGATGCAACAAATATGTAAAGATTAATTTATCCATTTGACATGGTGTGCAAAACAGTGGAAAGTTGAAAATATATGAATCCTCCTTATTTCAAATATTCAAAGATTTACTTTGCGTTGAGGAAATGCTGCTGCTAAACAGTGTTGTGTATTTTACAATTTGTAGAGTTTCACTTTCTTATTGTTCCATCAAAAAGAGCAGTTGGTGCTACTTTTCAGTCTCTCCTCCCTGAATTCTTATCTTTTATGTTAGTGAGGACTCAAATGAAAGGACAGTTACTTGATTTAACAACTAGTGTATTAATGCATTTTCTTTGTGCCACTCCCAAACACCTGGAATGTATGCTGTCTAGTTTTTCATAATTGATTTTTTGCAGATTACTCCTGTACTATCAATCGTAATCCAGATTGGTTCTCGACAAAATTGTGTACAGTTGAAAACAGATGTTTACATACACTGTATGGAAGAACAGAAAAAAAAAATCCTCACTGTCTGACATTATATCAGACTAAACTTTCCCTGTTTTAGGTCAGTTAGGATTACCAAAGTTAAAGCCAGAATAATGAGAGAGAGAATTTTTTATTACTTTCTGCAAAGTCAGAAGTTTACATACACTAAGATTATTATGCCTTCAAACTGTTTGTGAAAGCCGAGATGACGAAGTATTGGTTTTGGAAGCTTTTGCACAGTTAATTGGTGGCAGTGAAGTATTTTAAGACACACCTCAAACAGACTGCTGCCTTTTGAGGAGATGGGGTAACATGAGGTAAAGACACAAAAGCCTCTAAATTCACCAGATAGCATTCCGATCAAGCATCCGTGATGTGTAGCGGGACAGGTTTGATGCACAGAAGCTTTACTCTGCAGCTCACAGGATGCAAAGGATCTACTACCACTGTCCGGGTGCCAGACACCACAGGTGGCCCGATGGGTCAGAGCTGGTTCGGCAGTACAAAGGAGGACAGTGCTGCAGCTGATTGGTGTATTTAAAATGAACTTTTAAAGGCCCAGTAGGATAAATTTAAAGAATGCTGCAGGGAGTCAGCTAACAGCAATAAAATGGATGGTGATGTGGATGAATGTATGAAAACTAAAGTGGTACATGTTGAGGTTGAGGCAGAAATGTGTTTTGGACAAAGTGACAATCACCTAACCGTAACCCTAACCACATTTAATATTAATATGGCCAGTCTGCTAATAACAGCAAATACAAGTGTAAAACGTGTCCTTTTTTTCTGTTGCCAGAAGGTGGCACTATGACTGTAAATTAAATATTGGCATGAGAATGTCACCAGGACAGGACTCTGATCCAACACAAAGGTTGAGGCAGAGTGCGGCATGTTCAGACAGTCGCCATTGACGTTGAGGAAAACTCAGTTTTCACCGTGAGTCATCATCAACATCGTCACCGCATTTGAGGTTAATAAGGTCAACCGGCTAATAATAGCACATTAAAGTGTAAAACTATTATTGCCTGTTGCCAGCAGGTGGGATTATGTCTGTGAATGGATATTGGCACATAGGTGTGATCAGGCATGTAAACCATGAGGCAGATTGGAGAATGTACAGACTTGTTAGACATGCTTCCTCTTTAATTGCAAATGATCACAATTCAGACGGCCGCCACGCCCTTAGACTTTTGGAAAGTGTTTTGACAGCTTTTAATCATCAAGTCCTATTTAAATTTAAGACATGTAGGAGTTACCCTCTAGGAGGAGTTCGCTCTTGAATATGATAAAAAGTCCAAGAGGCTTCAGTGTTTGGCTCAGCACAGCACCGCTGAACCTTTATGAAGGGATTCCAAGGGGCTTTTTGACGTCCTACATATGCCTACCAGATTTCGTAGCTGTAGGTGAAATGTCCTGCGGGGGCTAACAGATAAATTGTTGAAGGGGGCGCTATAGAGCCATTTTGCCAGATGGGCACACATTGTCTGTCGTTGAGCCGATAGTAACGCATGTGCCAATTTTGGTGAGTTTTTGAGCATTCCTAAGATTTCAAAAAGTCACAGCAAAGATGCGTCCCCATGGCAATGGCATTGCATGAAAACGCAAAAGCTTCACACTGTGGCATTGTCAATGTGCGGAGATTCGCTGACCAATTTCAAGGATGATGTCACAAAGTTTGGAGCAATGGCACATGCAAGTGTAATGCCTCAAACTGCCTTTTACCAAGAGGTGGTGCTATGAGGATGAGTCAGTTTGGGCATGGGAATGTTATGAAAGATCAAACACAGTTTCTTTGAAGATCAAGAAATGTTTATTCAATCGGAGCTTTAAGGTTTTACGTCAGTGAAACTTCACCTGAGTTGCTGAGCGCATGCGTCGAGCTCCTGGAGCAAAACCCCGTGTAGGCGCGTCTATCGCTTGAAGAAAGTCACGTGACCGATACAGCTGCTTTGTCGTCTGTCACTGAGGCGGCAAACTGTGTTGATAAGGAAGCGCATCTGTCAACAGGATGCATCTCTGACAAACGAATCACAGATCTTTTGAAGCTAGGTCTATCCAAGCGATTAGGGAGCCCGAAAGACCTGTGGGACCATTTTGATCTTATATCTTATTTCCTTGTTGTTTAAGCCTGTTCCTGTGGAACTTGCATCCAAAAAAACAAAAAAAGTAATCGCCTTAATGCCAAGACATTGGAACAATTGTTTTTTTTTTTTGGAAAAAAAAAGCCCTCCTTGCCTCAAAGACAAGTGCATAAGCATCCTCACATCCACAACACTTTCATTTTGTTTTTGCATGTTATGACACACGTTCAAATCATTTATTGACTGTATATTTTAAAGATAGAAATATATTTTAAAATAAATGAAGATATAAAATAACATGTTATTGTATATGGTAGGTCATATCAGGATGTCAGTTGAGCCTGTCAACTACGTTGCCTGTAAGGATTCTTCAGATCCAGCAGGTGTCAGTATTGAGCAACACAGTATCAATACAGTTTGGGTAATGTGCCACAACGCTTCATGAGACCTCATCTACCCATCACTAGTTCAAAGTGTTTTTATTTCCGTGAACCTTATTCACTCATTAACTCACCCTAAGAGCTCCAAATGAAAAACAAAAGACACTTACAATTCCTTTTTAGACCAACAAACTTATTAAATCATAAACGTTTGATAATTTACACAAACCGAAATCATGTATTTTTTAGCGATGGTAATCCCAAGTGCAGTCATAGAAATCACCCTTCTGACTCACTGACAATCTCCAATAAAGAGCTATATGCAATTGGCTGTACCTTAAATTCTGATTTTTACATGTCATTTCTATATCAAATAAGCAGCTTTTACACACACATACTATTAAAGATAATACAAGGGACACAATTACGTTCTTTAGAATGTATGACTGTGTTTGTGATAAATAAAGACCTTGAACCTTGAGCATGCAAAGTTGTGGCTTGCTGGTGTCTTAAATACTGCATGAAGTTCTGTAGAGTGAGTGGCAAGCCACGCCTCGCCGCTGCTGGAGCAATCAGCTGATTGTGATTCTGAACACCTGGTCACTTGTCCCTCTGGCTTGTTGCACAGGAAAGTAGGGGTAATACAAAAAGTGCTCCACTAGATGGAGCCAAAGGCAGAGGTCATGTCATAATCACTTTCTTCTCACTCCTTGGGCTTGTTCTTCTGGCACACTTTCACTTTTTCACTGTTCTCAACGAGCAGACTGCTGACTGCCTGTGAGCTCCTCCCGTCCCAAAGCGCTCACAGGCGGCCAGGAGTCTGGTCAGCAGTCCCAGCTGCAGTCAGCAGGACAACCAGACGCCATTTTTACTTTGCTGCAGGTGGATAATTTAAGTTTGGCTTTTTATTTCATTTCTACAAGGAGGATTCAAATAGACACTGATCATTTTATTATCTATTATTATTCGTCTTTTTTTTTTCCGGAGTTCAGAATGTTTTTGTTGCATGCAGAAATAAAAGTTTGTTTTCTCTGGAGCAGTTCATTGATTTCATAAATGCAACACACTATAGTTTTTTTATACATAGCATAAAGGAACATGGCAAAAAATTTCATACGGGTCCACCCCACAGTCACCACATTTCCTTTAGCAGTTGGTTGGTCCATCATCTCCATCTCCTTTAGCAGCCGAGTACTGAACTTCCATGTGTAATGGAAAACATTACAAATATCAACAGGGTTTAGCTGTAAAATTTCTATTTTAACAATGTTAAAAACTATTTGAAAATTTATTGCAATTTCACAGATTTTCATTAATTTGATAAAACTGTTCCAGTTTAATACCGTAAATATATTTCTAAAATTAAATCCAATTTGTGGCAGGTAACAGAAAATAGAGGTATAGCTTCTGTAATTTTACATATGTTGTTAAATGAGAGATATCTTAGATATCCTTTTATAATTACAGAAGTTTTCACATCCAAAATATTGAAAGATTGTCGTTTCGTTTGGTTTTTGTAATATCTATAAGCAAAATCCAGTTTTCTCTTAAATGCATGTTTGTATGCAGCAGCATGTCCTTGCTTGTGTTGTGTCTGCTCTCAGATGTATGTCGCTTTGGATAAAAGCATCTGCTAAATGAAATTGTAGAATTGTATGTCGGGAGGTGGCAAAGTACAAGACAAATCACTTCATTTGAAGTGTATACTCAACACAAATCCATATTGTATGTCTACAGTAAAGCATTATCTTTACACCTCAGCATGCTGACAACACTTCGCAGCATAAATGTGTATGTGCGGAACTGTAAAACTATATGTGTGTCTTCACAGTGCCATCTATGTCATCTTCCGAAGCGATGATTTTGCATTTGAGTAAGTACAGCTGAGTTTTCTACAGCAGAGAGTTAAAAATTAACAAAACAATCACCCACCAGTTAATGTCAAACTTAATATTTTCACATATCTTGTCACTGGATTAAAAAACAAACAAACCAGGTATCACTTTTATTAATTCAGTTTTGTCATATAATTAAAATATATTGTTTGCTTCCACTTAAAGCATTTGCCCGCCGTGTAAAGAAGAGCCTGAGGTACTTTTTGATGAAATAGTAGACACTGTACGGTCAAGCCATGACCGGACCAACAGCAGCGGGAAGATCGGAGACCTAAAAATGGATGCTAGGTGAGAATTCCTTTTCTTTTGGCTCACAAAGAGGAACTGCTGGTTCAAAGAGAAACATGTACAGTGTCATGTGCATGTTCCTCCTGGTTTACCATAATTACTTTTGCTCAGGGCGCTGGAGCTGTTTGAACTGATCTGCCACTCCTAATTCTAGTGAATTACGAAGGCACAGCACCACAATGAGACTTTTGTTTTTTGTCTGCTATCCTGATGTTGTTTCCATTTATGAAATATAATCCTGGTTTCGTTACTATTGTCTGTCTTTAATGTATTTCTTGTTTTACTTGATTTTTAACTTCACTGTTCTCTGTGTGTACTGCATTTATCCTGTTTTCAAATTTACCAAATGAATCTCCTCTTTTGCATAAGAAAGTAAAATCTGATCCTTGCTCTTCTTCTACAGACTGCAGTATCCTCAGCCAAGCTCAATGAAAGGGTAAGCTGTTATCAGTATTATATCTACTGTACTGATTCTTACTTCTTCAAAATCACAAGATTAAATACAATCTTGTGCTCTAAAACATCTTCCTCTGGCGCTTTTGTGACAGTTTAAAGAAAAAACTCATCTTCAGATTCTGAAATTCTGAGGAGAAAACTTTGTTGTGTTGCCATGTTGTTTAAGATGAAGCCAAATTTTAAACAATATATGAAGACACATTTTTGGTAACTTTTCCCTGTCATCAGATATTACTTTAACTATTTAAGCATCTTCTGAAGATAAAACTATATTCTTCAGAATAATTGATAAAGCATTTAATTTTTGCCGCTCAGCAATTACTCTTGGAGAGAATTCACATCTTACATAAAACTCAGAAACTGATGAAAATGGGAAGTCAAACAAACAAACCAAAAAATGTTTTTTATTTTTTTTTACAGTGCTGAAGTTGGTGTAGATTTTTGTTTTTCTTTGATAACTGCAGAATATCGAATTGGATAGACTGAAATATGACTGCATCCAGTAGTTGTCTCAGCACATAGACCCAATGAGAACAACTCCTTTTTTGAATATCTACAAATTAAAAAGCAGCTAAGATAATTATTTCATAGTTTTAAGGACATAAATCAGAACTCTATTCCTGACACTGTGCTCATATGGGGAACTTTAAAAATGAAGCACTTAAAGGGAACTAATCGAAATAGTTATAGTAAAGATAAAAAGCAGCATCGTGAGGGGAAAACCGACAGCTGTTTAAAACTTGACTGTCTAATGAATTTAAGGATGAAATGTGAACCGAACTGCACCAGCGTCAAATCGCATGTCATTATAAGAAACAAAATACAACCTGAATGGAGCAACATAGTTTTTTTTTTTACGACTATAAAGTTAGAACACTATAAGACTTTAAAAAAGACTACGTAGGATTAAAACATACTACATCTTATATTAAAATACTGAATAACTTTCTTCTCTCTTATCCAAATCAAATAAATTGAACCTTTAGAAAATTAAATGAAAAAAAAGAATAAATAACAAAGAGCTGATTTCTATATTTGAAACCAACAAAGTCATTAACTCACTAATTTTCTTGGGCCTGTTGCAGGCACATTATGCATCATTTTTTCATTTGAACAGTGTTTAGTTTTTCTCACTTTACATTCAAATTCTTGCAGCACCTGCCATAATACTCGGAAGCTGACTGAACAAACTTGCGCACTTAAAAACCAATATTCATGACATAATACGACGGTTAGGGTTACAGTCCAGGTGCAAATACTGCAGGTGTGTTGAAAATGAAGGTTGTAATGGACACAGGTGTAGATTTCAGGAATGCAGGGGATAATTGTCCCTCAGTATTTAGAAAATGTGCATTAGTCCCCACCAATAAAAACATGAAAGTGGACTTTTGTTTGAAAAACTATTTTATTACTTAAAGAAACAACATTAGAGACACATACACACAAGGCGCAAATTGGTGCCAGATTAACCAAAATGCAGAAAATGAAATGTCAGACCTACTCAGTGTTCAGACTAAATCTAAATCCATAGTACTGAGGACATGAAATATTGAGTAGTGACGACTACTTAGTTGATGATTTAGATTGAAATACTTTACTAATTGATTGAAGCCAAACAAACTTGGACAACTCCTGCCACTGAACTGATCCACTGCACTCTTAAAGAAGTGCCCTGATTTAAAACAAAAATAAGAATAATAAAAACTTTTTGACATGATTTGTTTAAAAATAATTTTGTATGGAAAGTCCACTTAATTTTAGCATTTCTCTGTCATATTGTGTTGTTTTCTGCAACAGTTTCAAATGTCGAGTTTTTTTGAAATCTACTTCATTTTTTGAGATTTCTGTGTCACTCACTCAAAGTGTGATCTACTTTATCTTTCGAATGTGCTCGTGTTATTTTAAAGTTGCATTTAGTTACATTTCCTCTATGTGGTGGGACGATAGGGAAATCCTATCAAAGGTTTTTATTAGACAAGGTCACAGAGGTTCAAATATACCAAGGGGCAAGACGGATCCCAATTTAGTCAATCTTTATTAACACAATTATTAAAAAGAAAATAGAACTAATAAAGTCACACATCAGCTAAACACACACACTGAAATAAGCAATTGGGCAAGAAGACGGAGTAAGGACAGGGCTGGGGTTTACCAGGTGGCAGGGCAACCAAAAGGAAGCGGTTGTCCTCAAATGAATCACCTGTGACACTGCAAATAAAACACAAAATAAAAAAAGAAGTGGGGGACCATGAAGAACCTCCAGGGATTAAACTGCCCACAGCACCTGTTAACAAAAGAAAAAACATGGTTAATAAAACATGCCAAACACAACTGGTGTGGACTTCAAGAAATATTTACGTAACTAAAGAAACCCCCCCCCCAAAAAAGAACGATTTATTAAACTAATCACTTCAATAACAGAAGCCAGAAGGGGGAAGCTTGCAAGCCTGAGAACACCATCCCAACTGTGAAGCACGGGGGTGGCAGCATCATGTTGTGAGGGTGGTTTGCCGCAAGAGGGACTGGTGCACTTCACAAAATAGATGGCACCATGAGGAAAGAACATAATGTGGAAACTGAAGCAACCTCTCAAGACATCAGCCAGGAAGTTAAAGCTTGGGCGTAAATGGGTCTTCCAAATAGACAGTGACCCTAAGCATACCGCCAGATTTGTTATAAAGTAGCTTCAGGACAACAAAGCCAATGTTTTGGAGCGGCCATCACAAAGCCCTGATCGCTATCCTGTAAAAAGTTTGTGGGCAGAGCTGAAAAGGCTGCTAACAAACCTGACTCAGCTACATCAGTTCTGTCTGGAGGAATGGGCCAGAATTTTATCAAACTATTGTGAGAAGCTTGTGGAAGGAAACCCAAAATGTTTGACCCAAGCCATAAAGTTTAAAGGCAGGAGAGAGAGATCAAATGAGGCTACAACCAGAAACACAAGACGGGGGGAACACAAGAGGCATAAGAAGGAGGCACAGCCAGAATTATGATACTGTATATACTGTATGTATATAGTTTGAAAGCTATAAGCTCTGTTTTCGAATTTTTTGTTATTTCAGACGCACTGATGTGAACTCGGTGACCAACTGGAACGCTCCTCTGGTTTGGGAGGGAACCTTTGATCCAGTGGTGATTGATAATATCTATCATAAAATAAACCCAAGGATTGCTTTGGTGGTTTTTGCTGTCGGCAAGTAAGTACACAGGATATTCTCACAGGACACTATGGGAACGAGGTTTCATCTCACCCACTGTAAAGTGCTTAACAAATTTTTTTGTTGTTTTCTGTTGTGTATTATTTCTTATGTTGACTTTCTTGTTTCATACTAATTGACAGACTTTCTGCCTTGTTTCTTTCCATCCAACCAGATACACTCGTTTCCTGAAGGATTTCCTGGAATCGGGTGAAAAGTACTTTCTTTATGGCTTCAGAGTCACTTACTATGTCTTCACAGACAATGAACACGAAGTTCCCAAAGTAAGTTGTGTAGAAAACACAGCTAAACATTGGCCCATTGAACAAAGACAAGCCACAAAATAATCTTTCTGGTCTGTACTAGTTTGTACAGAAGCTGTTTGCTCTTAGATGGCTTTCAGTGTTTCAGGAAGGTTGGTCAATCTCGCTCCATTGTTAAATTGCTTTCAGTGCTCCACTGTTCATTAGTGTGTGGAAGCAGATGGTTGACCGATATTTCTTATGTACATATTAAACACTTCAAGCTTGTTGAGACATCGAGGTGACAACAGGGAGGTTAGTTTAAAAAGTAATGGCACACCTCATACAGCATTATTAGATGACTTGGTCACATCTCTGTACTGTTCAATATATGACAACAGCCCCAACTTTACCACAGGTATTAAGTACTTCAGGGATTAATGACAGCTGAGGAATTCTGTATATCAAATTTAATTGGCAAGACACCACTGAATCACTCCCCTCTGATGACCTCAATAATTCTGTTCTTCTTTCTGCCGTTGAATGTTTCGTGATGAGAATCCATTTGTAATTTTCTCTTTTTATCTCATTGTTCAGATTGTACTGGGTGAGGGTCGGAAGATTACAGTTCTCACCGTCCCCAGTGCCAAGCGCTGGCAGGACGTAGTACTTGGCAGGATGAAATGGGCAACTATCGCCATTGACAAGCAGGTGAGAAGTGAAACACATGACAAGGACAACACACAACAAGAAAGCAATTGCTTTTAAAATGTGGCAGTGAGGATTGTAAAGCATCAGGTGCTGTATTCAGGATGCACAGTTACAAAGAAGACTTACTAACAGCTATTATTATTAGAGTGGTCACTAAGCTACAGGACCTCGGACTCACCTCCTCCCTGTGCAGGTGGGTCTACAGCTTTTTGACCAGCAGACCACAGGTGGTTCGAGTGGGAAATCACCTGTCCCCCTTGCGCGCCCTGAACATCGGTGCCCCCCAGGGCTGTATACTGAGCTCTGTATACTGACTGTCTGTCCACATCAGACTCTAACACCATCATTAAGTTTGCTGACGACACAGCAGTGGTGGGTCTGATCTCCAACAACAACGAGGAGGACAATTTGATGGAGATCGCCCACCTGGAGGACTGGTGCAGAGACAACAGCCTCCTCCTGAACGTCAGCAAAGTGCTCTAATTTGTCCCGGACAGTTTTGTTAGTTAGTTTGTTTCTTTCTATTATTTTTTTTTCAACCACAATTCAAAAGCAATGTCTTACTTCACTAAATTATCCATCCATCCATCCATCCATCCATCCATCCATCCATCCATCCATCCATCCATCCATCCATTAACTTCCGCTTATCCGGGGTCGGGTCACGGGGGCAGCAGGAGAGCAGGTCGTCCCAGATTTCCCTCCCCCTGGCGACGCTTTCCAGCTCTTCCTGGGGGATCCCGAAGCGTTCCCAGGCCAGCCGAGAGCTATAATCCCTCCAGTGTGTTCTGGGTCTGCCCCGGGGGCTCCTCCCAGGTGGACGTGTTCGGAAGACCTCCAGAGGAAGCCTCCCCGGAAGCATCCGAATCAGTTGTCCATACTACCTCAACTGGCTAGAATAGAATAGAATACAAAAATACTTTATTTATCCCAGGCCTGGGAAATTACTGAATGACCCACGACCCAAAGCTTGTGACCATAGGTGAGAATTGGTAAATTGAGAGCTTTGCCTTGTGGATCAGCTCTCTCTTCACCACGACGGTCCAGTATAGCGCCCGCATTACTGGTGACGCCACACCGAGCCACCTGTCCATCTCGTGCTCCATTTTCCCATCACTCGTGACCAAGATCCCAAGATACTTAAACTCCCTCGCTTGAGGAAGCAAGAGTAAACTTTCCCGGGGAGGCTGACAAGTGTGATTCTCCAGAAATTGGAACACACTCTCCGGTCCCTCTTTTTGAAAATGGGAACCACCACCCTGGTCTGCCACTCCACAGGCACCGTACCCAATGCCTACGCAACATTGAAGAGACGTGTCAGCCATGACAGTCCTACAATTTCCAGAGACTTTTGCATCTCAGGGCGAATCTCGTCCATATCTGGCGCTTTGCCACCAAGGACCTTTTTAGCTATCTCGGCAACCTCTATCACGGATATGGACGCAGAAACCCCCAAGTCTTCAGGCTCTGCCTCCTCAGCAGAGGACATGTTTACTGGGTTCAGGAGTTCCTCAAAGTGCGCCTTCCACTGCTCGACAAGATCTCCAGTCTGGGTCAGCAGTTCTCCCCCCCCGGCTGTACACAGCCTGGGCAAATCCCTGCCACCCCTTTCTGAGGTGTCGTACAGTTTGGCAGAACTTCTTCGAGGACCGAAAGTCTATCTATCTATCTATCTATCTATCTATCTATCTATCTATCTATCTATCTATCTATCTATCTATCTATCTATCTATCTATCTATCTATCTATCTATCNTCTATCTATCTATCTATCTATCTATCTATCTATCTATCTATCTATCTATCTATCTATCTATCTATCTATCTATCTATCTATCTATCTATCTTCTGTATTTAATTCTTTCTTCTTATTATTGTTTCAGTTGTTTCAGTCTGGAACAGGTGCATAATGCATTTCACTGCACGTTCTCCTATCTATAATTGTGTTTGTGACAAATACAGGCCTTGAATCCTTGAATCCTTATTGGACATTTTGTTTAGCAGTGTCTACATGATGTATTTAATCTTACAACACATGTGCCGTGTTTTTAGATCCGCGGTGAGGCCGATTATCTTTTCATGATGGACGTCGACAGTGTCTTCTACAACCGTTTTGGAGCAGAGAGTCTCAGTCCGCTGTCTGCTGTCCTTCATCGTCTTTACTTCGAGGTTTTAGTCTTTTCTACATCATAATCTACATCATTTTCTACATCACAATTATCTTGAGTTGAGAAACCTTTATTCTCTTCATAATAATGTAATCTGGTGTGTATTTTTTAAAATTCTGTTGCCTCATTTTCTGATCCGCCACAGCACCTTCTGCCAGCACAAGTGTGAGCTAAAGTCTCTTCCCATTTTTCAATAATTCTTTTATTTTCTGTCATTTCTCAGTATACAAAAAGGGAGGACTTTCCATATGAGCGTCGTCCTGAGTCCAAGGCCTATATCCCTCCTGATGAAGGAGACTACTACTACACTGCAGCTGTGTGGGGGGGATGCCTGGAGGACATGTACAAGCTTGTCAGGTAACCAAAACCATATGATCCTATATGTTATTTTCTACAAGTTATTTTCATGATGAAAAGGCAAGATACAGTGAAGCTTAATGGATGGCAGTACCCCAGGCATTCAGATACTAATTTTAAAAACATAAGTCATTCTAAGACTGTATTTTTTTTTTCTTTTTTTAATGTCTTTTAGCACAATTTCTTGTCTCAGAGTTCTACTGCACATCTTTTCTTGTCAGATACTGTTATGAGCAGTCGGAGGAAGACGCCAAGAACAACATTGAAGCAGTGTGGCAGGAGGAAAGTCACCTCAACAAGTACAGTGTTGCAATTCACTTCCTCACTTTTGTAGTTTTTGGGATTGTTCCTGTTTTGAAAGTACATATTCACATACATGTTGACACTATGTTTCCAGTAAATCATATCCCATATCTGCCCATCTCTCTGTCTTGCAGGTACTTGTTGTACAACAAACCGACTAAGGTGCTGTCTTCAGAATACCTGTCGTCAGACTATGAAAAGGTACCACCAATGATTAAAGTGGTCAGGATCTCCCAGTTGGTGAAGGACTATGGTCAGATTCGCCCCCACTAAAACAAACAAAAAAAAAGGTCTTCCCCAATGGTGGAATGTGATGCCACGTCAATGATTTTTAAGAAGTAAAACCTTTCTAGTAATACTAAAAATTGTGCTATATGTATGGATTCATTAGTTATATTATCATTATATGTATGAACTAAAATGGACTACATTTGCTCGTTTTAAAGCATAGCAATACAAAAATGTTTGGCTGTTGTTATCTCTTATGCATGCCAAGAGTAAGCAGAACTTATCCCGGAAAGAGGGTCTAAATATTCAAACAGCTGATATCCACTCCGGTGACAGAAGGGAAGATTTCACATTGACCAAAGCCAAAACATTTACCCTAATGATAATCTTAGTGACTACACCTCGGAGCAAAACATCAGATTATGTTTTCAAGACTGTCAAAATCAGTTTAGAAAGGTCTTGCCTTGCCTTAGGATCCTGTAACAGGAGAGAATCCGTATATGACTGGCTAACGATAGCCTCATTTTTTTGTTACGTTTTTTAATCTACAGAATCACATCAATGCACCAGACAACTTTTAGATTTACCAGCACTTAAATATATAAAAGCTAACTGAAAATTATATTAATATCATTCTTTAAAAAATACATACATAAATAAAATAAAATAAGTTTACCATAAATGCAGATCTCTTAGTAACAAAGGCACAAAATTATTTCTCACCAAGTGAAAAAAATGAGATATTGCAAAAGGAGTTATCCCATCTGTTTTGGTGTGACAGATGCCTACCTTCTACCTAATTGGGTTAATGATTTAATACTGGTATAATGATGTGGGTCAGTAATGCAGCAGTGGTTGTGGGTCAAATATATATGCATTCATGGATTTTTAATACATAATATACCATATATATTGTTATTTTATTGTTATTATATATATTGTTATAATTACACAAAGTTTGGTCTGCCTCTCAGCTGTATGGAACCTGTGCTGGGGGATCCTGGTACCCCTACGTACACTTTTAGCCCCCCACCCCGTCCTATAACTGAGCTTTTCCTGCCTTACCTTTCCCCTTTTGTTCATGTGTTCTGTACGAGAAGCAAGTGAGATTGTACTGTTGTAATTTGTGTGCTTTAATGTAATATAATTATAGTTGTGGGTTCACTTTCCAGGTCTAATATATTTATGTATTGTTTGGTTTCTGTAGGGGTACAGATTTTGTGAGTTGAAGGAAGATTTTTGTATGTGTTTACATCGGCTGTCAAGCTGTCAAGGTCTTTAATAAACGGAGATCGCCTCCAAAAGAAGGTGTTCACCTTGGCTTTGAATACACACCGCAGAGAACTGAGTCCACTGGTTACATGTTTCTGCAGAAACCATATATTAAGAAGTGGAAGACTATTTAATCACTGCCTGACTTGATTCTGTTGTGGTTATTGTACTGCACATGCATTACAGTACTCAGGACAGAGGAGGAAATATTGTCTTTTTTTGTTATTTTGCTGTCGTTCTTCATCTCTGCGACATCAGTTTTTTTAATGTATATATTTATATAAAAGGACGGAAAATGCTTCAGCATGTGTTGCATGTTTTTTTCTTCATTTTTTTTTTTTTGAAAAGCACAAAACAGACAATCTGAATTTTTATAGTAAACACTGTCACATAACACTGTTGCCT